CTCTCTTTCTTTCTTTCTTTCTTTCTTTCTTTCTTTCTTTCTTTCTTTCTTTCTTTCTTTCTTTCTTCTCATCTGTTTTTGTTGATTTTTAAAAAACATCTTTGTTATACTGTGAGGGCCCCCCCAGCCTAATTTGAGTAAATTAAATTAAACTACATTACAACTTTTGGTTTGGCTCCAGCTATTATCTTTTGGAATATGGACCCAGCATATCAAAGGCCAAATGTGACTCTTAATGGCTCAAGTATGCACAAAGTCCTGTTGTAAAGCAGTATTAACTTTTACATAGCACATGGCCTGCTTTATGGGTTAAGCATGTCTAACTCTACCTATTTAGTATTGGATTTATAATAATCACTTATCTAGGGAAGAAGCCTAGGGTTTCTAGGGTTTCAGCATAGGGCTGTAGGCTAAACAAGGCAAGAAAATACAGAGCAAGAGTTGATAAAATATACAGACTTGTCAGATGTTCTATAACTTCTCAAACTGATAAACAAAGTAATTAATTCAGGATAGGGATTAGGAGGTTTTGAGTGTAAACAGTGAAAGGGACTTGCAAGCTAAACTACTCCATTAGACTGTAGGAGTTTAACTCAACAAGAGAACTAGGAGTCTGAATGTTGGAGAGGACAAAGCCCTGAGCATCAGAGAAGCATTGCCAACATAAGATGGTTTGTTCATCCCACATGTTCCTTTTGGTTAATGGTAAATTTAATGTGCTTCCCAGGCCACACAGATATACAAAGAAACTCATGGTTCATTAGGAAGGTCTGCTCTTTGACATCTGGGTTCTTTGGAGGGAGGGACTACAGCTTGCATGTCACTACAAAAAATAGAAGTTGTATGATGCTAACACCTTTGAAGGCCAGGAGCCTGGAAAATTAGAAACTATGTGACAAAACTGGTTTCTACTGTGTTTGCTCAGATTTTCTTCACCGCAAGCTGGGTAGCTGAAAGAGAAACAAGTGTAAAGTTAGTTCTTGACTCATTTTGAAACTGAATTTAGAACTATTCCTAGTCTGATATGCTAACTTGCATTGGGAATGGGAATAATAACGTTGCTATTTTCCCCCTTTTTCAGTTCTTTGCCTTCATCACTACACTGCTGTATATTTTGCATGCCTTCAGCAACTACTACCACTGAAATGACATGAGCTGGAATTTGTATCCCCAAACAGTTAACATTTAAAGAAGATAATTCAGTTGCAACTGAATTCACCCATCATCTGGCACCATCTCATTTTAGGTGAAGCAAATACATGTTTTTTAAAACCTGTATTGTAGCATGCTGCTGAGTTCTGTATGTAAAACTACTCAACTTACTGTAATCTTTCTCATGCTTGTAATTATCCCAAATCATTACTTTCCCCCCTCATATCAAAGCCTTCATAAATAATGTACATAAAATAGGGGGGATTTTTGAACTTTCTGTTTTCAGTGAACTATCTTCACATTTCCTCTTCTGTGAAGGAATTCTTGTTGGTTTGCTATGGTATCTTGCATGTGGCAGAAGATTCTCGGTTCATATATTGAGGTGGCCAGTTTCCAATTCACACAAACCATAAATGAAATAGCATATAGCAGTGTTTCTCA